AGTTTGCCATACTCTGAACAACGTCAGTAAAGACTCGGCCACCATATCAGTTCTAATTCCCTTGTACAGCGTCCTTCGCCTGGACCAATATCTAGGTACGAGCGGCTTGTTGGTCTTGAGTCCCGCTTTCTGGCTCTTGCCTTAATTTGCATAAGCTAGTGCTTCTCCTGCTGGCATTTTGGAGACATCAGGCACTTCAAAGCTAATTCTGAATAAGGCTTTTAGCCGAAATTGCAGCAGGTCTTGCTCTTTCAACACCAGCTTCAAGGTTTCCCCATTGAAAATTTTATATGAAGAGCGCCGCGCTATTCTCTTGAAAATCGGCTGAGGGATGTGGGGAGCATCGCGGAAGCTGTCTACCATAGGGTTTCCTTGAAAGAGCAAATGAGCGAAATACTTCTGAGGCACTTAAAGGCAATCAACATGGCACCATTTTCCTTTCGATGAAAAAAAAGTTAGGTGTAAGTGTGTAAGTCCAAGCACACTAAAATAAAGAACACATTGCGGGTTAGAGCATTTCCCTGGGTGATCCGGTACCAGTGATCCGCTGATTCCCTCCACAAGAACCCCAAGCCATTTGAGATAATCTTCCATTTGTTCGTCAATAAGTGCTGCTGCTTTTGGCTGTTCACATGGACTGTTTCAGATTCGTCCAAAAATGGCACGATCTCGAGATTCCTTTCCTGGTGTTTCAATCCGAAATGTGTTTTTAGCGAAACACCTGTTTTAAACTTCAGTGTACACAGTTGACAGGAAATGAAAAAGGCATTTTTTTTCTCGCAAGGTCAAAATAGTTGTCTCATAACTTACCAATAATACGTGGCGTACTGAAAGTCAATGGACTTTCTCACTTCTACGAGTTTCCGTTGGTTAGACAAATTGAAACAATGCTCTCAATCAATGACGCATTACTCGCAAGCTTGAAAAATCCCGCTATTGTCGCAAACAATAGATCCCTTTTTATTAGCAAATGTGAGAGGAAACGAAGTCTCATGTGCCAACCTTTTTTTTCAAAGAGAACACCGATTGACAACGAATCCCTTAACAACTTGATTTACTGTGAACTGAGCGAGTAGACTTTATTTACCCTTAAGTTATTGCATCGGATCTCAGCATTTCAAGATGTCGAAATTTAGACAACATACTGTCGAGGAAATGCGTAGAAGATCAAATATGAGGAAACATAGGAAGAAGTCATACAAACGGAACAGCGTGAAAGTTATTAGTCACCCATCTTCAACTGCCACGGCTGAGAAAGTCAGCGAAGGATCAGCGAATTTTAAAAGGGAATGTGTTAGCAGAGAAGGAGGGGGTATAAACTACATCGAAGAAGACAAAATCGACCGTTCTCTCGACGGCAATTCTAATTAATGAACTGGGAACAATTGCATGGCTTCCGAAGATGTGAACTGCGTGGTACATGTACTGCGTGGATTGCAAGAACAAACATTAGAAGAGAAGGACAACAGTGGCACTTCATCATGTCTTAGGGTTCGTTGCGTCGACATGAAAAGGTTGTGACTAACTCCCAAATGTTTGGCAAATGTTTGGCTTTTAGAGTCTAAAAGAACAATAACATAATTTTATTCAGTACAGCCAAACCGGTAGGAGGGGGAGGTTTTATTGTTCTGTTAACCACGAAGTTTGCTTCTGATGTTGCTCCGAATGTTTTATTAATCCTTTTAAACTTTCGTAAAACAGATGCAGTCTCACTTCGTCTATCAACTTTTCTTTTTCTTGCGTTAGATATGCTTTTTGCGATTCGATTGCACCTATTATATTTATTAAAAGGAACAATTTTTAAAAAACAGAAAATGTCCTTCTTTCAATAACGTGGCGGAATAAAACAATTACGCAAAGGTATTACTATGATACTTTTTGGCGGGAAATATTCAAGTTATTTTTGACCAGCACTGCTATGCCTAATTTTGTCTATAAACAGAGAAAATTGCTCAGATTGTGAGACAACATTTCAGCTTTTTGGAAACGATTGCCAAGAAACTGAATGTGCCACAGGGTTACACCCAATTACGAAAGATATTTTCTCCCTTCCAGCAGTCATTAGAACTGAAGCCGTTTTGTTCTCTCAAAGTCGGATGTAGTTCACACATCAAAAATTGATAAAAAAAATGTTTTGAAATTATCCTGTTGTCAATAGGTTCTCATTCACGTAAGCTAGGTCATAAACTTTCTCTAGTGATGGGGAAGAAGTTGTCCTTCATTTTAAAATCGCTGAGATTGTCATACTAACCTTTGAATGAAACTATTCAGTATAGGAAAATTCATTACTTGAAGTGGGAATTCCGCATTTAATTACACGCGAAAAGTGATAAGCGACGCGATGAGAGCGATATCGGTTTTTAAGTGCAATTTAACGCGGAATTCACAAGTCCGAAGTAATGGATTTTCCTTGAATCCCATATTTGAATAAAAACAAGAAAAAGAAGAAAACAGTATTACTTATAGTTGTTATGCCTGATACGTAAATGCGAAACAATAT